TATTTATTTATCTATTTATTTATCTATTTGTTTATTTGTTTATTTATCTATTTATTTGTATATTTATTTATCTGTTTATTCATTTTATATCTAAACGTAAGGCTGAGTTTGCCCTGACTCAGACACGCTAACAGACTTGGTACTAAGGCTGTCTGCCCACCATAGCATTATTTCAAAACACACTTAATAAATTTCTAACTGACTGTGGAGGAGGAAGGCGGGGAAAAGTAAGAAAATGACTGCCAACCAAAGCCAAGATTTTCTTTTGTTTCAGCTTCTTATGTGATAAGTATATTTGAGATGTCCTGACGAAATGAGTCACTTCTTATTTCTTCCAATCCACAAATATAGATATGGGCAAAAAATCGACACTAGAGTTAAATTTGTAGATGTTCTATTAATGCCATATTCTGAAAGTATAACATGCCCTTTATTATTTCATACTTATAAATTATAAAAACTTCACCTCTAAGCGCGATATAACTATTTCCTTGGGGTTTGAAAGTGAGAGGTAACTCATTTTGTCAGCACGCTTCACATATGCTTTCAAAGTAATTTACATATCATCAAATGCAGTTTTCAAAAAGTACTTAGACCTATACCTCCCCGAGAAACACCTACACATCATAGAAAATATACAAACGAAAAACAAAACCTATACCCCTACCATACCAAACACCTCCCAAGGTAAACGTCAGATGAAAGTCCGCCTCCTAAATGATCTAAACAACGTCGACAGGGGTATGGAACTCCCACCAAAAACAGGGGTATGGAACTCCCACCAAAAACAGGGGTATGGAACTCCCACCAAAAACAGGGGTATGGAACTCCCACCAAAACTGCATTAAAAAAAAAAAAAAACCAAAAAGGAATGTTTTAAAAAAATCCAACACGTAGCTTAACCTGAACCGTCAATATTTACCCTAACCCTATCTATCAACACATCCACTAACCTTAACCCCCAACACATCCACTAACCCTAACCCCCAACACATACTCTAACCCTAACCATTAACACATACCCTATCCCTAACCCTCACATACCCTAACCCTAACCCTCCACACATACCCCCTAAACCTTACCATCAACACTTACCCTAACCATCAACACATACCCTAACCCTAACCCTCAACACGTACCTTAACCTTAACCCTCAACACGTGCCCTAACCCTAACCCTAACATTAACCCTCAACAAATACCCTAACCTTAACAATCAACACGTACCCTAACCCTTACACATATCATAACCCTCAACACATACCCTAACCCTAACCTTTAACACATACCCTAACCCTAATCTTCAACACATACCCTAACCCTCAACACATATCCTAACCCTAACCCTTAACACGTACCCTAACCCTAACCCTAGACATATACCCTAACCCTAAACACATACCCTAACCCATAACACATACCCTAACCCTAACCCTCAAGACATACCCTAACCCTAACCCTAAACACATACCTTAACTCTAACCCTAACTCTCAACACATATCCTAACCATCAACACATACCCTAACCCTAGCCTAACCGTAAACACATTCTAACCCACAACACATACCCTAAGCCTTACCACATACCCTAACCATCAACACATACCCTAACCCTAACCCTAATCTTAACCATCAACACATACCCTAAACCTAACCCTAACGTTCAGCACATACCCTAACCCAGACCCTAACCCTCAACACATACCCTAACTCTAACTCTCAACACATACCTTAACCCTGACCCTAACCCTCAACACATACCCTAACCCTGACCCTAACCCTCAACACATACCCTAACCCTAACCCACAAAACATACCCTAACCCTAATACTAACCCTCAACACGTACCCTAACCCTAACCCGAACCATCAACACATACCCTAACCCTAACTCTCAAAATATATCCCAACCCTTACTTTTAACCCACAGCCTAACTCTAGCCCTCGACACGTAGAAGGTTAGTTACAACAAGATATATATATATATATATAGATATAGATATAGATCTATATGTATATATCTTCCAAGTACCTCTAATTTCGAGTAATTTCCCTCAGCGTGTGATTCGCTCGAAACTAAGGGTACCTGAAAGATATCTAGTAACGTTGTTTGTGGCAGTCATATTCCATTGTTCATAACACATAATAAATCCGAGTTCCACGTTTCTCCGAACTTTGATGTTTGTACCTTAGTTCAGAACGAGTTTATCGGCGTTCTTTCGGACAAACTTTTTTTTCCTGTTCACCTGGTATATAACTCAAAAGGTCTTGTGATAAATTCCTACATGTGGTCGAATGAACTCAATTGATGCGACTGATGAGATATGTACCTTATTGTCAGCTTTACTTTTCCTTTCATATTGAATTTTAATGAGATCAGAGTAATATATGATTTAATTTTTATGCATATCTGCATATTGTGTTTTTACGGCCTTGTACAGATGTCCCTCTGGGACAATAAAGCATTATCTTATCTTATTATATCTTATCTTATTTTGTCTAGTTTTATCTCGTCTTTTATCTTATGTATCTTATCTTACCTGCTCTTATCTCATCTCATCGTATCTTATCTTATCGCATTCAAGAATATTGTCCCTCTGGGACAATAAAGTATTATCTTATCGTATCGTATCTCATTTCATCTCATCTCGTCTCGTCTTATATTATCTTATCTCATCTTAACTCACCTCATCGTATCTTATCGTATCTCATCTCATCTCATCTCGTCTCGTCTTATTTTATCTTATCTCATCTTAACTCACCTCATCGTATCTTATCATATCTCATCTCATTTTTATCTCATATCATCTCATCTAATCTCATCTGATCTCATTTTATCTTACCTTATCTAATCTCATCCCATCTTAATCTGACCTTCCCTGCCAGGTGGTCGGCGTGACGTCCAGCGAGAAGCGTTGACCTTGACCGAGCTTTCCCGCGTTTTCCAGACGACAAACGGCCAGTACATGCCTGGGAACTGCCGGTCGGCACAGCGGGTGGCTGTCGTGTTGCCCTACAGAGAGGCTCAAGCACAGCTCAGGGTGGTTCTGCACAACTTACTCACGGTGCTGCACGCGCAGATGTTGGACTTTACCGTCTTTGTCATAGAGCAGGTCGGTGGTGGTGATGATGATGATGATGATGATGATGATGATGATGATGATGATGATGATGATG